GTGGACCTCCAGTGGAATTTTGTAAGTGGACTAAATGTGGAATATCTCTAAACATGAAGGACCATTTGTTGAATTCACACTAAATTTTACAAGAACCATTAATTGAAGAGTAACACTTCTCTCAATTGCAGGTTGCTGCTCTTTTCACTCTCGTTGTTATAATTGCAGTCAACTTAGCTGTGGGGATTCTTCCTCATGTTGATAATTTTGCTCACATCGGAGGTTTCCTTAGTGGGTTTCTTCTTGGTTTCGTGTTGCTGCTCCGACCTCAGTTTGGTTGGCTAGAAAGGAGGCATCGACGAGCTGAAAGCCAGATCAAGTCCAAGTACAACGTGTGCCAATATTTTCTCTTGGTGGTTGCCTTGATTTTATTCATCATTGGGTACGCCTTCATTTCATATTATTCCCTGCTACACAAAGCTTAAAAAATCCCATTGAAACTGCTTTCCGTGAATAATCGCGTGATTTTGCTGAATATATTAGTACCTGAACTTCAGTACTCCCTCCGTCCCACTATTTTTTGCCCCATATCATATTTAGTTTTCCATCCGTCTTAAAAAAGGTTCCACATTACTATTCACATGGTCAAATTTTGTTTTCTTTGCATATTTATTTTTATTGAGCATTTGACAAAATAAAATAGTCATGTCACCTCTTGTTCTATAGAACTTTCGATATACGGTGTAACTTTCAAATAATAAATTTTTATTTTCTAATTTTACGCCAATTCTTTGCATACTATCCCTGCTATATAATGTTTTACATTAAAAACACCAACCATGTTAACAAGACATTGACAGCTAACTTTGAGATCATCCTCAATGTCAAATGCTTACAGATTCACAGTGGGTTTGGTGATGCTCTTTAGAGGAGAGAGTGCAAACGACCATTGCAAGTGGTGCCACTATTTAAGCTGCATACCCACATCGAGGTGGCGATGCGATGAGAACTGATACGGATCGTGTTCTTGATTCTTTTTTCGTATCAACAATGGTGTGTAAGTTGGGTGTTTATATATGTTATGGAATTTAGCTATAGTTGAAGAGTGAGTTGTTTGAATATACATAGCTATTATTGTAAAGTGAACACATGTCCTTGTAAAGTTTTATCTTCCTCCTTCCCACAGCTGTCTAATAAATGAAGGACCTTGGCGTGTACACCAATTTTAGATTAAATAGGCTCACATGACCGAGTCTTATGGTGTTTTGTTCGAAAAATTGATGATTCCTACCGCTTTAACCTTCTCCACTTGGCCCGAATTGAACCCACCCCAACCCCCTTCAATTGCACCCTCCAAATTTGGTTGACTTTGGAGTCAATTTTGACTCCAAAATCAACCAAATTTGGAGGGTGCAATTGAAGGGCTGGGAGGGGGTGGGTGTTTTTCGGGGGTAGGAGTCGTTAAATTTTCGAACAAAACACCGTAGGACCCCGGTGATCTTATGAAATTGGTCTCAATGTCGTGGGAACCAAGCCGATTATATAAATACTCCTTTATAACATAAGTTTATTCATTTATAACATAAGTTTATTCTAAACTAGGGAGTATTATGTTCAATATAAATACTCCTTGGATAGTGAAAAGTGTAATTTTTTTAAGAATGGAGGAAGTGTGAAACAAGGCTTCATGCTTCAAGACTAGGAGGTGTATTCAATCCAAATTGATATATTATACGCCAAAAATGGTAGATGGTGAATGAAAAATTAATTTCAAAATTAACCCATTAAATAGAAAAGTATTACAGGTTAGAAATTTTCCGTATTCTATTGTGAATCTGTTTCTTTGAGGGTGTTTGAGATTGCATTTGAAAATAACTTATAGCTTCTACTTTACTAAAACACAATTTTAAGTGTTTGTTAATCTGCTTTAGCTTATAAATTATGACTTTAGAAGTTAAAATTAAGGTCTAGAAGTGCTTTCTAGCAAAGCTACAAATACATGCTTTCTGCTTCTAAATTATGACTTCTACTTTTACATAAATTACCATGCTCCCAAACACCCTCTTTGTCTCATTCATATAAGTCCATTTAGCTTCTAATTTTTTAAAGCCTTCTTCTACATAACTCTGTTTTTGTCGTCCTATTAGGCATCATCACATGATGTTTTAAGTGAGATTTGTAGTTTGAACAATATGACGGTATAAGGTTTCCAGCCTTAAGTTGTTCCAAGTAATAGTTTTTTTTTTCTTTTTACTTTATGCTATAAATGATGAGTTTTCAGCGTTTCGTCTTCCTCACTTGCAAACTGTTACCTTTCTGGTACTGTAAGAAGTCTGAACTGAACTACTCCCTCCTTCTCGAAATAAGGTTCCTGGATTGATTGGACACGATTATCAATTAAGGTGAAAGTGTGTTGTTGAGTTTGTACGGTGGAGAAAAATTGCGCGAGCCACACAATTCTTTCCTCAAAAGGAAAGAGGAACCTTTTTCAAAGACGCAAACAAAGGAATGTCGAACCTTTTTATGGGACGGAAGGATTAGTTCCATTTGCTTTATTTGGCAGCGGGTTTGTTTATTGAAATCTGTGACAGGTCTATTACCTTACTAGTGCAATCAAGTACGAGTAATGTGGTTATATGACAACAACTGTTTGTGTTAAGATGTCATTATGTTTTAGTCCTGAAATCTAAATAGAAAATACGAAAATGTTGGAAAAAAAACCCCACACAATAGTCAATAGTGTTGTTGTTAAGCTGCACTAATCCTATGTTTTTTTGGTGTTGGCTTCAGCGGAAGATGCCCTTGCACACCCCTACCTAACGTCACTTCACGACATCAGTGACGAACCGACTTGGATGAATCCATTTAGCTTCAACTTTGAGCAGCACGCGCTCACGGAGGAACAAATGAAGGAGCTGATTTACCTCGAGGCTCTTGCGTTTAATCCAGAATACCAGTTCATGTGATGCGAAGAAGAACCATTGATTGAAAAATGTTGTATGTGCCATTATCACCTTTTTCATCCATCTCATACTTGTTCTCGTATAACGCCCAAAAAATGGCTCCGATATTCGAACATTTCGCGTATCGGAGAATTTGGGTCTTAAAGAGTGTTGCTTTGTGAATGAATGATGCTTGTAGCATATATATATATATACACACACACACACACACATACACACATACATACATACATACATATGTATCATATATTGTTAAACTCGTGTTTGGATTAGATCTCATGTCCATTAGTGGGTTTGTATTGATGTTTTTAATCTTCATGTGTTTCTATTTTGATTTTTAAAACGCCCTTACATTAAATTTTATTGTGTTCTGTATGAAGTTATTACTTTATTTATGTGAAAATCATTACCATTAGGCATTAGCGCAATAAAGGTCCACTTTGGATTGACACGTTACCAAATTTTAATCTCATAGTTCACATTTTTTAATGTACTCCGGGGTATGTGTCTACGTCTTTCCTAATTTATTACTCCGTACTATTTCCGTCCCAGAGTATTTGTCCACTTTCATTTTTACACACCATTCAATACACTTCTTTAATTTATTTTATCTTGTAATTTGTATATTAAAAAATTATAGAAATTATATATTAATAATCTATATGTTAAGACAAATCAAACAAGATCACATATGACTATATTTAAACTCACACATTGATAGAATTTGATAAGTCAAAGTGCTTAGATGAACAGTTCCAAAAGTCAAAACTGAACGAATACTCCGGGATGGAGGGAATACTTCTTTGTGGCTAGAGTGACTTTTTTCAATTGATCCATGTTGAGCATCGAAATTTACATTAGCAAACTTCTAATAATAATTAATAACAATAATAGTAATAAAAACAATAGTAAGAATAAATATAATAATAGTAATAATAATGATAACAATAGTAATAATAATTATAATCATAATATTAATAGTAATAGTTATAGCAATAGTAATAATAATACTAATAATAATGTTAGTAATAATAATAATTTTGTTTAGATTTGGTTTGATTGGATCTGGTTTAATCTGATCTGATTGGATCTAACTGGTCCGATTTTAATAAGAATAAGTAATAACCAGAAAAAATAAATTCAACGGAACGCCACATTAGGCCTCACTTTTTAGTTGATTTAATTCAATTTTCATGTGTTTCTTGTTGCAAAAGAAAAAAAGAAGATTGAATCCCCAACCCCCCACATACTTTTTTTATTTGTATTTGTATTCATTTATGAGTCCATTCGTCTCATAATGATTTACACTCTTACTTTAAATATCACTAGTTCTCTAACTCGTGCGTTGCACGGACAGTATTTTGAGTCAGTGAAAGAAAATAAAAAATAAATTTATTGTGTATAAGACAACACAACGAAACTGTATTCAAGATAAACATTAAAAGTATTATATACTAATATTGAGGAATGCATAGTGAAGATTTACTTTTTCACTAACCAATAAAGTAAAAATTTACTTTTTCACTCTTTTCTATGATAGGACTTTTTGAATCACCCATGTCCATACATACGCGATTACCCATGTCATTAGCCAGCATTTCGGATCCATCCATACCCGTAAAGATTTGGGCGGAAAAAGTCACTATTCATTTTCTCACTTTACCTTTGTATATTAGTAGATTTGAACTGAATACTCATTACTTTTTTATTTGTATTTGTATTCATTTATCATTCAAATATCATTTATTTGTATTCAAATATTCAAATATCATTTGAACTGAATATTACTTTTTTATTTGTATTTGTATTCATTTATCATTAAAATCAAAAAAGTAATGAGTAATATTTACTCAGTACTTCTCAAATTAAGCTACATGCATTTTATAATGTACTATGTACATGCTTTAAATAACTAGCAAATAAATGGGCAAAATGAATATTTTGTTAGTCGAAAATGTATATTCCCACAAATGTACAAGAAACATCAAAACATCCAGATATACATTATAGATACTCTACGCAAATCCACGGACTATCAAAACATCCAAATATAGTATAGAGACTCTACTAAAAGACTAACCCACAACTTGGAAGATCATATAAAAGATCGGTATATTATACAATTGGATATAGAGTGGTGTACATCTATAATATAAAGGTTTACTTGCATATCTGGTTTGTTCTGCACATACCTAGGGTATATATAATCCATGAACATTTTATAGTTACACAATATGCATATCACATTTTATACGAATTCTTGTCTTTTCGTTTTCCCCCGAGGAAAAAGTTTACATTTTTCTATGGGTAATGCTAGGATACCCCCCCCCCCCCCAAACGGTTGCTACCAGGGTGCACCCATACTTCGCACAAATGACACAAATGATAATCATTTGTGCGACAAAGATGATAATCATTTGTGCGAAGCATGGGTGCACACCTGGTAGCAACCATTTGGAGGCACCCTAGCATTTTTTTTATTTGTTCCAAAATCCCCTCTTTGTTTTTTCCCTCTTTTTAATTCATCTCTCAAATTTAGTTTCATATCATATTTCCTAACATTTGTATGGCTCAAATTCATTCCTACATCTTAATGTAAGTGTCTCATACCTTTGCCCCAAAAATAGTGGGGTGGAGTATGTGACCCATATTATATCCCTCTCCTCTTGTAAAAACATGCGTTTTTTTACCTTTCTTAATAAATGTCTCGGGTCAAATTGTGGAACCTTATTTGGGCACGGCGGGGAGTACTATGAAGATTTAACTCTCTGCATCCATGCGTTCAATTACTCGACGTGCCTCCGCTTCTGTAGCAGGAACAACGTTGCGGATCCTCAGCCCATTCTTCAATGCATCTGAGCAGAGAGAGAATGTGAAGTAGAACTTGTTTGAGACCTTGCAGAAAAGCAACAATAATAAATTAATAATACTCAGATACAAAAGCTCAATATGTAAAAAAATTAGTACTTTTCAACAGTACAACAACAATAATCCAGCATAATCCCAATTCTGTTCGGGGCCTGGGGGTCAAGATGTATGTAGTCTAATCCCCATTAAACAGAGACTGTTTGCATCTTTCAGCAGTAAGGATATGCAAACTGAATGTAGGTGTTAACTTATCAGCCAATAGCTTCTTACTAGTTGGACATGTATGTAGACTTGAGCATATTTTTTAATAGCAAGATAAGTAACTATTGTCTAAGGTTAAAACCAGGATATCAATAACAATGTCACACTGACAATAAAACCATTAACATCATTAAGTTATTGTGCTAACCTCACTGGACCGCAGTTCAGGTCTTGTAACATGAGCTACAACTTCAACATTAATTAAAGGCTGACATGGGTTCTCCAGTTCTGTGTACAAAACACATGATTTGAAACGAAGGAAATTCCCAACATCCACCTGCACCAGCAGATCGAATGTTAAAAATCAAAGTAACATTCGATGATAAAAACTTGAATTCCCCTTATCCATCATATTACATCATAAAAAAGTCCATCTACCCCTACAAATGATAAAGAAAACCTTATGTAAAATGAAATCGCTTGGAAACAAACTGGTTACAATAGATGTTCAATAAAAAACAATGTGTATAAGAATTGTCTAATTCTAAAGCCATGTATGGTGAGCAAAACAAGTGTGGGTTGTGATATCTAAGACATCAAATTCCTTTTGCAAGTGTTTGGTGAACCGTAAAAAGGGTTGAATTTTGATATCTCCTGATATCTGACCTCCCCTGAAAATGGAAGATATCTCCCTCCACTGCCAGACAAACACTACTGTCGTTGTCACCGCCACCACTGGTTCCCTTTGATTCAGTTCCAATTTTTCTACTCTCTTCAATGTATCAAAACTCATTTCCTTTTTTCCTGATATCAGAACTCATTCCATTCCAACACGGGTTTGCTCACCAAACAAGGCCTAGAAGTGAAATGAAATGAATGAGGGTGGAGTTTGATCATGATAAGATCATAATGATCAAACTAGAAATCATGGAGTAACATATTATTCAAAACTTGTATTTTTAGTTGTTTCAAGTTATTTTTTATACTATTTAAATTTGCCTCGTTGTGTTTAGATTTGTTGTTGTTGCTGTTGTGTTTAGATTAGAATCTAGTCATTTATATATTTTACTCACTTATGGGATTGAATCATAGAACTACTTTGCCTATAGTTCATATGGAGTATTAATTCTTGCATTTGCGTCATGTGGCCACACCATAGATGTGATCATTATGGTAAAGGCTCATAGCCATTGCCCTATTGCCATATGCCATGGTATGTGCCGGCAGCGTGCGCAACAAATTTGAGTTTGATGGAGACAGTGACAAAGTCACCAAACGAGGCGGTTATGACTAGGATACATGGACCAATCTTAATAGGCGTAGTACCAATCCTCATAATAAATATTTTGCAACAAGATGAATAGCTTTTTATGTACTGTAACATTTAAAATCTTATTAAGAAAATGAATCGTCATTTTCAGCCCCGCTGGTGAATTGTCGAAAAGACAATAAGAGCATATTCTAAATCTTAAGAAGTACATTCCCTAAAAATGCATCAGATAAAGAATAGTTTTCTGGTGTAAACGTTGTTAACTCGTTAGGCCACTAACTAAATCAAGGGACTGAGAGGTTTACACAAAAGAATTCAGTGATTTCAAATATAGTCACAACAAGAATTGAAAGCTCAATAATTTATCCCATCCCCCCCCATGGCGATCCTTCAAATATGAACTGAAAGGAGTGGCCAAACTTCTAGCAAAAGTTGCATGGATAGCAGCTTTGTGCAGTATTCAACACATAAGTTTGAAAGAGTATTGGTGATCTACTTACAGGTTTTAAGAAATCCACATGATCAACTTCTTTGAAGCAAGGTGCAGTCCCAGCAAATGAGTAAGCTGTTGCATAGGCCAGCTCAAAAGCTCTTCTCATTAAAAATCCTCCAAATATCCGACCATGGATGTTCCTTTGTTGTGGTTGGCAAATCAAGGAATTCTGCAAGCAAGTATCCTTCATCAAAATGCTATCCCTGTCTGCCAAGGCAGGCATGTCACAAAAGACTCTGCCCTCAGCCAACAATTCATTAAGCCTGTTTACTTCTTCAATATCAACCCTCCTTGTCGGTTCCTCTCTCGTCCTCTTCCTCATCTTGTTTCTTTCTTCAGCTTCATTCCAGAGCAATATTTCATCTTCTGTTTCAGGTGAAATCTGGTTGACTAGAGCTGATCTTCCAGTATNAATATCCGACCATGGATGTTCCTTTGTTGTGGTTGGCAAATCAAGGAATTCTGCAAGCAAGTATCCTTCATCAAAATGCTATCCCTGTCTGCCAAGGCAGGCATGTCACAAAAGACTCTGCCCTCAGCCAACAATTCATTAAGCCTGTTTACTTCTTCAATATCAACCCTCCTTGTCGGTTCCTCTCTCGTCCTCTTCCTCATCTTGTTTCTTTCTTCAGCTTCATTCCAGAGCAATATTTCATCTTCTGTTTCAGGTGAAATCTGGTTGACTAGAGCTGATCTTCCAGTATTGGAGTCACGGGCCACAAACGTGAAGTTTGCAGTTAAAGCCAAAGGGTTTGAAGTGTCTGTAACAAATAGAATGAATTGGGACATGGAAATCAGAACCAATATGAGCACATCGTGATACATTGTTTTGAAGGCAAATTTTTCAGAATTTGTATACATTGCATTATTAAATACATGTAGGAAACACTATATTTGAATTTAGGCAGTTTATTAAAGTTCAAAATAAAATTTATGTTTGTTGATAGAAAAGTGTGAGTACTGCACAAAGCCAACACTGAGTCAACCAAAGCTTAACGGACTTGAACTTAAGTCTAACAAACTTCTTGTCTTGGGATTTGTTTGCAAGAAAAGTGTGATTATCAGAAAGATTATATAAGAAGTTCAAAATGAGTTAAAGAGTAACCTGTCTATACACATAACTAGGGTTGCTAATTAGGGATGTAATTCTGATATTTGAGTTTGGATAAGCCCGCTTGCGTTAGGGTATCTAAAACTAATTTTCCATTCTATAGTCATCTACAATCCCCCTCATTCGGGAGAGCGGGAGATGCAATCATATTGTTGTTATCTGCATCAACTTTGACTGTATATATCCATCAGCAACCAACAACAGTTTTACTGGGAAGAAGTGGGACCAAATCCCGCAAACTGCTGGAATGTGGTGCATCCATCTCTGTCATTATAGCCTGACACCAACCTGGAATTTGAAGAGCATCATGAATATATTTAGGAATGGACACAGTGGAGAAGTGAGACAGGAATTTAGAATGTGAAGACGTGTGGTGATAGCTCAAGTATGTATGTATATATAGGATGTTGATTACAAGTGGAGCGTTTTCTTTCCGTAGAGCAATGGATAATTCATTGTCTATCTGCAGTGTTAGATCTGCAGTTGGAGAAACATGGGTGAAAATTGATCCGTGGGTGCGGATATACAATGACTTAGTGTGGTCTTGGACTATGATGACAGACCTGAAGTAGTTGTTCATTGTCATAGGAAATCTGGGCTGTCTCTGTGGGGGTAGGTACAAGATTTAGAAACAAAACTGGGTTGGGATAAACTGGGTTTGAAGCATACAAAGGTTACACTTCAAAGATAGGAGAAGTGTCAGATGTGACAGTGATAATGCATAGAAGACCCTTAATGGCACATCAGTAAAAAATTATCATCTATGCTATGGAGAGTAGCATTGGTACCCTTTTGTAATTGAGAGTAGTCCATCCAAGATCTGCCAAGAGCCATGTTGCATAAAAAGCAAGTGTGGTCAGAGGTCCATGATCGAAGTGAAAATATTGTAAGATTGGGAAAGAGTGAATTCCCAAAATGGTCCTTTCTAATAAGGCATTTTCCCAAATTACTCCTCAATAAGCAATAATTACCAACGTGGTCTTTTGTAATGATTCCAGATTTTCCAATGTACAACTTTATTTTGTCGAGTGGTAGAAAAACAGGAGGATTGATGCAACATTCTTTTATAATATGGGTAGGAAGAATACTCTTGTGCAACATTCTTTTAGACTTCTTGTGCACTGATACAACTTTATGTGTGTAGTGTATGGGTGGGAAGAATACTCTTGTGCATTACAACTTCACAAGATATGGAAAGTTTTGTCGAATTGGGATTCAACTTAAACATAAAAAAAACTTGGATGACTTTAAACAACTTAGAGCATTCCTTCATTAATGAGACCAAAGTGCATCAAGAAAAAGCATTAACAAAAAAAGGCAACCTAAAACCCAATCTAAACGTGACTCAACAAGATCCCCATACAATGGTGTGAAATAGTTACAACACATTAGTGAACATAGAAGAAGATATTGATCCTTCCGCGCTCGTGGCCGGAAGGATATAAGAGGAGTCTGTGGCTAGCTTCTCATAATTATAATTTTGACTTCAACGATGATGATTTTATTAATGAATACTCACTCCATCCCATAAAAAAACCTTACGAATAATAGCTAAAATAGAAAACTAGTACTAGAGTTTATTGCACCAACACCCCTGTGGTTTGGTAAATGCACACCACTAGCCCCTATACTTTCAAAACTTACATCGTTGCCCCTCATGGTTCTGATATTCCTACGCCAATGCCCTTTTAGGCTAAAATACCCTTCAAATCTTAGATGAATAGCTCCATTGCCCCCTATGGTTTTGGAAATGAGCACCAACACCCCCTATCTTTTTTTTTCTTCTTTTTTTCCATGAATATTTTTAAGTTCTTTTTTAAAACGAGGAAATTTAGAACTTATAAATTTATACTCCCTCCGTCCACAAATAAACTTCTCGTTCACTATTCACAGGGTCAAACTTTATTCACTTTGTTGACCTATTTTCGTCACCGATTTGATAAAATAATATAGTCATGTCACTTTTAGTTTTGTAGATATTTTGATATAGTTTTTTAATATGTAATTTTTATTTTTAAATTTTACACCATTTTTCTTATAAAATGATTTGAAAATAACTTCAGTCAAACATCGTAACGCGCAACGGGAAGTTTATTTGTGGACGGAGGGAGTACAAAAAGGATGTTTTTCATCCAAACATCACAAACTAATACATTGAAATAGAAGGCAAATGTGCAACAAGCTGCGTCTCTAACCCTTTTTGAATAACAAAACTAAGTCTTTTGAAAAGTACACCCAGAGATCTAGGGGTCATAAAATAATTATGCATGACCTGTTGGACTCGACTTAGCTGCTCTATGGACTCGACTTAGCAGCTCTATGGCCTCAGGCGCGAGGAAACCAAAGGTCTCATATGCAAATGGTATAAACACATGTTGGTTGTCAAGACACACTTTCTCGTGTTTGGTCACTTTGCATGAAGCAGCTTTTAACGCAGCCTCATCCACTGTGAAAACACCAGTCCCCAAGCTCACAAGAGGAGAAACCCCTATTAAATCCACACAAGCACCGTGTTTCCGACCCATCCATCCAAAGACCAAAAGTAATTTTTATAATGTTTTAAAAATAAAAACTTTTTTTATTTGAAATAAAAAAACTAATGAAATAAAAAAATTATCACACACTTAAATATTCTCTAACTTAATATTTTTATATTTTGTCCAAAAAAGATCCTTATTGGTTCATTTTCATGAAACAAAACTCAACGAAACATTTTATCCTTTTTGCAGTGAAGCTCATTTCCCATTATGTTCATGTTTTGGTTTTTTAAATTATTTTTGTTACCCTTTTTAATTTTTATACTAATTTTATAACATTTCTTTTTTAAAATCACAATTAAAATAAAAAGAATAGATAATAAAATGAAGAAAAAAAATATGAAACGGTACTTTTATAGAAAAGAGAAAAATAAGTATATGTAATCTTTTTTTCCCTAATGATTCAAAAAATAAGATTTTTTATCAAAAAATGAAAATATTTAATTTGATACAAATGAAGTATATGTTAATTTTTGTATTTAATTTTTATTTCAAACACAAACAATTTTTATTTTTAAAACATTCTAAAAATAGTTTCAAAAAATAACTTACTGACATTTATGATAAAAAAGAGAAGAAAAACCTATAAATAACACCTTCCCTAACATAGTTGGGATTAAGATAATGATGATGATTAATGAATGTATTGGGTTGGGAGTATCATTTATAGCCTATATAATGCTTTATATAAGCTTACTTTAGACACTTAAATGTTTAAAGAACAAGGTGTGTTACTCAAGTCTGAGGAAGGTTATGTGGAGACATAGAGTAGCTCCTAAATATGCAAGTTTGCTAGGCTAAGAGGAATACTTCCAGAAAGTCAAAAGCTGACATAACTAGAATGTCCTCCAATTCTTATTCAGCAAGAGAAACTTTATTAACACCGTAACATATAAAAGTATAAAACTCGCATCACAGATACAAGGATTTCAATATAAATATTTCTTTTTATTGAAATGGCATATGACAGATATTTTTCAAGCAACGACTCTCTATCAGTTTTAATGTTGGAGACTCGGATTACATAACCTGATCTAATGTAGTCACACTCAACTCTGCCAAAGAGTAGTGGTAATTATACTAGTAAGTAGTGTTATGGAGAATTGGGCGCTGGGTGGGGGGGGGATGTTTGCAAACAAAGAAATGTTAAAATACTCCGTATATAATTGTACATTATCACTCTTCTTAAACATACCTGGTGAAGTTTGGGTCACTTTCAATTGTATCTCCATGGATGACCTCCCAACCCAAGTAACAGCCCCCTCAATTTCCAAATCCAAATCAATACGAATAGGTTTCTTTAAGACCATCTTGTCAACAGAGGCAGTAACAAGCAATAATGGCATAGTAGTGCTATCCACATCCGAGCAGTGCTGGATTGCAGAGAAATCAGAATTATGAGAGTACTTTCGGAACCATGGAAGAATAAGTACATACAGAAACGCCACATTCTCAAAGTGTGTGCTCCAACTGCCACAACTGTACAGTGTCATGACATTCCCCACCTCCAAAAAAGGAAACTAAGGTATGGCACATATATGACAATTTTCTATCTATCATGGTAACCCAATGGGAATGCAAGAAGAAGAAGAAGAACAACCTAGTTGAATCCCACAAAAGTAGGGTGTGTGTAGGCAGACCTAACCCCTACTCGAAAGTAGGGAGGATGTACACAATGGAAATGCAATGAATAATTAAAACAAGGTTATACACTGGCAAGAATTTCATTACGTCCGACAACATTAGCAACAGAACTGAAGATAAATGTCCCAAGAATAAAACAAGTGCTTGTTATAAAACAGAGTCCACAATCCAGGTGTACAGACTAATGAGCATCGAAGAACAGAGTGGCAACGTTTATAGAACTTTTGAACAGCAAATCTACCTTGTAAGATATTGTTCCAGCCAAAGCATCAAGGTCTTCAACTAGCCTTCCCATCCTTATCATATTCCAAGGGTTTCTATATTGTTCTCTCAGAGCATAATCAGTGGAGAATTTGTAGAACACACTGGTCCTGCTCATTCTAGGACTCTTGGTGACTTTACCTTTGGGAGGGGAATCAGAGGTGGCCTGCGAAAGCACGTCAACAATACTTGATCTTGCCTCCCATAAGGCTTTTGTCACAGGTGAATGGTGTATTCCAGGCCAGAAAACTGCAGGCTTTCGAATGGAAGAACCTGCATCAATAGGAGGGTTAGAGCTATCTAATGAAACAGCTGGAATGGAGTCGTCCCGCGGAGGAGATCCATTTGAAGAGCTAGAAAATCTTCTCAATTGCGAAAACCGGGAGACGAATTGGGCTAGTGAAAAGCTCCGGGGATTTGAAAATGGCGAAATGCAATCCAGATTTCGATGTATTTGACCGCCATTGGGAAGTGCTGTGTCTTCGGATGGAAGAATTTGAGCGGAATCTGAAACGAAGAAGTAGGAAACAAGTGTGTGAGCATGCATTCTGATCTTGAATTCATTGAAGGATGATGGCTCGAAGAGATGATGATGATGATGATGATGAGGGACGGGCTGTGGTCGTAGAGGTTTCATGCAGTGGAAGAAAAAGCCCTTCATTGGCGAAGAAAATTAGTTCTTCTTCTTCTTCTTTATTCTTCTTACCGGCGAAATATCTCCGCCGTAATCTATAATACGGGACGCCGCTGGGAACGAGAATTCCCCGGTTGTTGCTTGCAGCCTTGCAGGATCAGCACGACATTTTCAGTAGGCAAAAATATTCTCCTGCCTCTCAAACTAGACTCCCAATTTCCCCCCTTTGAAAAAAAATGTGATTATGTGAAATTGAATTCCCTCCATCCCAAAAATTAGGTAGTTTTACTTTTTTTAGTCAAATTTTACATTTTTTTACCGTAAATTACGGAAAAAATATATTTAGTTATGTGGAAACCGCTTTTTCGGGGCGTCAACCCGACGAAATCGATACCGGGTCGGCACCGCAACGAATAAGGAAACCCGGGAATTAAATAAATAAATAAAGCGGAGAGAAAGTATTTATACGTGGAAACCCAAATCGGGAGAAAACCACGGGCCTTTTTAGGCGGTGCCATGCCAAAGGGGAGGAGCTTTTATTAATCTCGGGGGAATTTACATATACATCATTGTAGAAGTTTGGAGCCATTAATGGAGCTCTAAGCTCAAAGAAGAAGAAGAATGAAGAATAGTAATAGGAAATGAACTTTGGCCTCCCTCTTCCGTTCCTTCGTAGCATTCTATTTAAAGGGGAGTACATGCATGCATCCCAACAATGCCATGAGGTGGCCATGTCACCTCCATGTGCATGTGTTTAGTATATGGGCTCCACGAAATATTTTCACATCACTTTAAATATATTAATCTGTCCATATATCTCTAGTTCCGTCTTGAATAATTTATCTAATTTATATATTGGGCCAGATAAAATTGGGCTTTCTTGTACTGTTCAAATGATATTGGATTAGGAAAAATCCCTAATCCATCAAGTTATAATGTAAATTTAGTAAAATTGAATTTAGTTTAAAATATAATTTTGAAATATCATATTTTTATACGTAATATTTAATTATTTTAAATTATATTTAATTCGTAGTCAAAAGTGTCACAGTTTAACCAAAAAAATCAAAGTGTGGTAATCTTTTGGGGACGAGGAAAGTATGATATTTTGATGTTATTTTTAAATTTTGTTCTTTCTTTATGTTAGGATAGGATTATGTTAGGATAAGATGTGATAATTAGATAATAGTGAATATGCATAATCTAATTGGTAGCTTAATAATTTGTAGGGATAAAATAACCGATTGAAAATCTATGCATTTTTTGGTGGAACGCTCACCCCGAGCTCTCCTACACTCCGGTCTGATAAGATTGTGAAGAAGAAATTTTAGTTTAAAAAACGGAATATTCTTGCATTTGTGTTCAAATGCAAAACTAGGATATAAGTAAAGACACGAGGACTATGCATTTTTATGCATTTTTTGGAGTGGATGGAAAGTGAGAGTAGAAAGGGTTTTTTGGGACAGATTGAATATTTCATTTTTTTAAAAAAGTAAAATGTTTATGGTGAACTTCTTGAATAAGAGTAAAAATTATGAAAAATACTAAAATAGAAGTCATTAGTCTTTTAAGCCTAATATAAGAGTTTACATTCTCATTGCTACATGTCACACTTAACACATTTTCACTGCAACTGTCATACTATCACTGCCACACAATCATTCGTTGTTGCCGATTGCTGATGTTAATTGGTAGTCCCTAGTCCGCCAACAATTGACTGATCACACTACCGTATTACACAGTGATCACTGTTTCATCACACTACCATTATGCTCATATTTTAATCTTAAAAAACTTTAAAAAATGTAAAATGTATTTTGAGCCAAATAAAATACCTCATTAAGAAGGACCATTTTGAGAATTCAAGTTTCAACAAAGTTGAAGTCCTTAATCTACTTCATCTTTCTCAAAATAATTTACACCTTTACCATTTGGCCCCTCTGCAGCCCCTCCCCTCCACTTCGTTGATTGGCTAAACTTTGGTAACGTGTCAATCCAAAGTGGACCTTTATTGCGCTAACGCCTAAATTAGTAACTCCATACAGAAAACAATACTAAAATTTAATGTAATGGCGTTTTGAGAATCACGAGAAGGAGAAACACAAGCAAGTGTGGAGATTGAAAACATCAATGCAAACCCACTAATGGACATGAGATCTAATCCAAACACGAGTTTAACAATATATGATACATATGTATATTATAGGCTACAAGCATCACTCATTCACAAAGCAACAGACTTTTTAAGACCCAAATTCTCCGATAGGCGAAATGTTCGAAAATCGGACCCATTTTTGGGCGTTATACGAGAACAATTATGAGAAGGATGGAAAAAAAGAAGGTGATAATGGCACATACAACATTTTACAATCAATGGCTCTTCTTCACATCACATGAACTGGTATTCTGGATTAAATGCAAGAGCCTCGAGGTAAATCAGCTCCTTCATTTGTTCCTCCGTGAGCGCGTGCTGCTCAAAGTCGAAGCTAAACGGATTCATGCATGTCGGTTCGTCACTGATGTCGTGAAGTGACGTTAGGTAGGGGTGTGCAAGGGCATCTTCCACTGAAGCCAACACCCAAAAAACATAGGATTAGTGCAGCTTAACAACAACACTATTGTGTGGGGGATATTTTTCAACATTTTCTTGTTTTCTGTTTAAATTTCAGGACTGAAAGATAATGACATCTTAACACAAACAGTTGCGGTCATAGTTTAGAAGCTAAATACTGGACTTGTATGAATGGGAGACAAAGAAACAGATTCGCAATAGAAGACGGAAAATTTCTAACCTGTAAGTCTTTTTCTAGGATCAAATGTCAACATTTTCTCAACAAGATCAATAGCAGCTGGGTGCACTTGGGGAAATTTTTCAGTGAATGACTGGCGGCGGTAAAGAGGAAGTTGGCGGATATATCTTTTTGCATTGTCATTCAAGAACTCCATTTCAGCTTCCGAAGGAGTGCCAATCAGCTGAAACATGTACACCTTATTAAAAGTTACTCGAGTAAAGTAAGCACATTTGAAAATGCCTTACGCTACTGCAATGGACTTTATGTCATGTGTTACAAGTATTTCAAGAATTTAGCAGGACAAGTTACAAATTTGGTCACATTTTTGGAGTATGGAGTTGAGGTGGGGGCAGGACAATGCATGGAGAGCCGCTTAACAAATGCAAATGCTAACAAAAGCCATTAGGGAGTTCTTTATGAAATTAAATTGGGATAGCTTTGTTACTGGGATGTTAACATATGTAAGAAGCTGGATGCAAGACCTTGAATATATTATGGCATTAGTTAACAAGACCTTTAATGAATATATTGTCTTCTGAATTCCGCAGGCAATCATCAAAGCTAAAATTAGATCCTGAGGATCGGGTCGATGTAATATAGGCACTCACCACATTCATGGGGAAGAAAAACAATGAGAAAAAGGATGCATTATACGCCATGTTGGCAGTTATTAGTAAATTATTAGTATATTATACATTCAGCATTCGGTTTCTTAAAAAATGATTCATTTAAATATGAAAAGCATCGAAGGTTGGAATTCTCATCAATAATGAATGAATCTATGCATCCCATTCATTTTCACTATTCTTCTTTGATTAAATTGCCTATATCATTGAATGAGTATATAAGATATACTCCATCCCAAAAAAGGGTCAAACTTCTGGATTATTTTTGTTCAGAAAAAAGAATGTGCATTTAATGAAAACAAGCTAATTTTCATGTTTTACCATGGAGGTATCTTAACTCATAGCTTAAAATGTAGCTTGTTGAAATCAAGTTCTTTTAAAGTATGAAGAGAGTATTTCTTCGCAAAATCTATTTCTTGAAGGAAACAGTTCTTTGTGTATTGTTTTTCTTTATACCAAATCATTAATATCAGAAATCAGTCATCAATATCTTAATTGAAGCTAAATTAAGACAAATGGGCCAAAAATAGGGTGATGCTAAATCCACCCCTTATTTTTCTAAATCCACTCCATTTATAAGAAATTGACAACATTACCTTTCACTTCTTTCTCTTTTCTAAACATTAAGGGTAAACTTGTCCATTTCATATAAAAAGGGGTGGGCATAGTCAAATGAGGAGTGGATTCAGTAACAATCCCAAAAATATACTCAGTGTTGCAATTTGCAAACTTTAGTGATGTGAGTACCGAGTACCAATCTTGCAGTAAGTTGGTTAAATTCTAAACAAAGGAATCTTGGGTCACTCCAGTGGAAATGTTAAAAAGATACACTTTAAAAGGTTTTAAATAATATTTTCAACGTGTGGATGACTTTACCAATGAATACTTTAAAGCCGTTAAAGTGATTTTTTGCATGTCACATTCTAGAGATTAACCACTCCACCTATGCGTACAACAACATTACCCAAGTGCGTCAAAGGCTCCCACCCATGGCCGCAGCCTGACCCCCGAGTTTAAAACATAGAGCGGCCGTTTCTAGATGACCCATGATGAGCGTAGAAAGTTGCATTGACTAACTACTACTTCGGTGTAAAAGAAGCGCATACAGTTTAGAGTCATTTTTGCTTTATTCCATCATACCGCAAAGCAAAAAAATAATGAATCTTCGGCTCCATCAGAGATCATGGAAACAAAAGGTTACTTTATTCCACTCCACCTATGCGTAATTGACAATAAAAGCTTGAATGGAATAATCATGATTGAAGCTAAAGGTATTGAGAGAATAACTTTCTAATGCAATCTGTAGTGATGATAAAAGCTACCAGTGTTGACAGAATGGCAGCAAACAAATTTTTAGATGCTGATTGTGGTGATAAAATGTTTACCTCCATAAGAAGACGTAACTGGTGCACATGATCTCTTCCAGGAAATAAGGGTTTCCGATCCATAAGTTCCATGAAGATGCAGCCCACTGACCATACATCAATTGCTGCAGTATAGTCCGAAGAATTTAACAACAGCTCAGGTGCCCGATACCATCTTGTTACTACATATTCGGTCATAAAATCTGTTTCAGAAGTGACACGGGCTAACCCAAAATCACATATCTTCAGATCACAATTGGCATTCAAGAGGAGATTGCTTGGCTTCAAGTCCCTATGCAAAACATTTGCTGAGTGTATATATTTCAACCCACGAAGAATTTGATACAAGAAATACTGCAGAGAGGAGGCACAGGTGAGGAATAGATTGATAAACGCAAACAATTAACACTTCGTAATCATAACACTCAATGAAAAATGAAAAAATCAAGATGTGGAGAAAAGACAAACACATTGCTAATACCTTTATATGCATATTTTGTTCATAGAACTAATTTTGTGGTCATAGAATAGGAATGTTATTCCATTTTTTGGTTCATCCACCACTTACAATGGATTCCATTATTCCATTCCTCTACTTGATCGAGGAAACATGAATAGATTCACACTATGTTTGGTTCAAGGAATTTGAAAGGGAAAAGAAAAGAGAATGAAGTGGAAAGTACTTTTTTTTGTTTGGTTAGAGAGGAAAACAAAGGAAAGTGGAAGGAAAACAAAATGAGAAGGTAAAATGTACTAAGTGGAGGGAAAACCAAATTCCTCCCATTTTGATGAGGAAAACGAGAGAAAATCATTTTCTTTTCTTTTCCTTCCCAATTCCTTGAACCAAACATAGTGTCAGTAATCCTCCAGAAGGCGCTCAAGTATTGCCTAGACCACCTTGAGAGCCTACGCGGACACCTAGCCCACATAGAGGGCCTAACCCTCCTAGGAGCAAATCGGTCTAGGGGAATCTAGTACCTAGGATGCGCCTAGATGGCAGACTAGGCCAATTTTTACAACAGTGGAAATGAGATTAACC